GGAGAGAAACCTCTGTGCAGCCTTCTTTCATTGGGAGATTCTGGGTGACCTGGCCAAGTCAGAAAAGGAACTTTTAGATACTCTGACCAATGCAGAAGCAAAGTCTGAGTTAAAAAGATAAAATTTTTATAAAAACTGAAAACAACAACTATCACAATTCAGTATAACAACTCTCACTGAACTTAAACCAAAGCTGTGGGAGTTGACTTCCCAGTTACTGAAGCTAAGGTTATTATAGTGCTTTTTCCTGCACTAAGAAAATAATGATGGACAGAAATCCAGTAAATAAATAGCAGTTTAATGAATAAATTAATACATAAATGGTCTTGATGAGCTACTACCTTTGCCTCAAAGCAGACTTTTCCCTTTGTCACTCCATAAGTACTCCTTGCCCCAGACCAAAGGGTGGGGAACTTCTCTGAGAAAAGTGGCTGCCCTCCATAGCGGTCTTTGCTCACTTGAAAGTGGAGATCCGAGGTATCTGTTGAGAAAGAACCAATAAATTTACTCCAATGTCAAATACTTAAAAGCCACCAAAAGAGTATAAGTATACCCAGCTGTCAAGAATGGATGCAAAGTCTCTTAGAATTTGCACACCATTAAGTTTTAATCTCCAAAATCACTTCTAGGAGATTAGTTAAAAACCCCAATTTGCCTGCCTTATACATACATGTGTCCAAATTCACAAGAGTTTGATCCTCCTCCTCATCTTTTGCTTCTTCTTCTGGGGGTGGTGGAGACTTTGAGCTGCACATAAGACAGAAAAGAAATACAATGTAACCAAAGCCCTCTTCTTTGAGGAGTGTCTGCATGACATTGTGTCCGCTTCAAACTACCAGTGAATATCAAATCCCAGCAGACAGCTTCTTTCAACAAATGAGAAAGGTCAACAGGAGGTTCCATGGTAGATTCAATCTAAAACTTATGCCTATAAAAGCCTATTCCATTTTTAATCCACCCCTCCTTCCAGACTCTCCAATTAGCATCAGATATACCAAAATCAGAGCAGACACTCCCTTTGAAGGGACTGTTTCCCTCACCGGCTGTGGTAAGCCTCCTCTCGGAATTCATAGTAAGCTCGGCCATGTTCATCCTTCTCATCCCGCTGTCTCTTTACCCCCCGCCGCTCACCATCTGAGCCTGCTGGTTTTGACTTTTCACTATCTTGGTCATCTCCTACAAAAAGGAGGGAAAGAAAATCAGCAGTTTTCATACTGGTATGTAGAATAAGCTCAGAACCAATGGAAACTAAAGGGGAATCTGAGTAGCTGTCTAATGGAAACAGCCAAGTTATTCTCACTGTATCCACATAACATCTTATTTCTGAAGATTATCTGTCATCAGCTGGGATTTTATTCAAAAAAGAAAAAAAAAAAGGACATTATGGGCTAATTACAGTCAAGCAGAAGATAAAAATTGGACAATTTTTGCATTCTAAATTTATCTGCTTAAATCAGGTCAAACTTGCAGATTTCCCCATCAATATGACATAAAAATATCCCTTAGGTCCTTAAAAAACCTTCAAAGGTTAATTTAATTTCAACTCTTGTCAGATTTGGATTTAAGGTAGGCACTTAACAACATATTTTGTAACACTTTTCCACAGTTTCATGATATAGAAGCCTCAATTTTTTTTTTTTAAAGTTAGACTTTCATGCATTAAAATGTACAGCTATCCATGGCTTTACTTATATGGCAAGTGGACTTAAGTGCATGATATATACCTGTATTTTTATCAGTGATCTTTACTGAAAGTTTTAAGAGCAAACCATTAAGTCACAAGAGACCCATAAATAATACTGCATCTTTACTGCAAATAATGTAGGGTAGGAAGGTGCTGTCACATATTTAGCAACGTTCTTTACAAGAGAAAAATAACCTGGAGTTTTTCCTTAGGCTTTTGTACTTTGCAACAATAAGAAGATTTTTAATAATAATTTCTTTAAAACAATTCTTTATCCCTCAACATTTTTTACCTGCTACTTGGGATACACATAAGTCAAAAGTTATGTAATGGGATTTTTGTTACAGGACATAAGACAAACAATCTGCAAGTTGCATGTGATTGCTGTAAAATGGGTTCCAATTTTACCAAGATACTCCGTAGCAGCCTAAAAAATTATTATAAAAATTACTAAGGCAACCCACTTTATAGTAAAACTTGGAAGCAGCTCTAGTTTTCCTCCCTCCCTACTCTGACAGATATTGTTATAGATCAGCTCTAACCACCCAATCACTTCAAAAGAAGGGAGAAAGGTCACTAACTCCCTGGGGCGACTCTACGCATTGTATTCCACAATATTACTCAAGGGATGCACCAGCACCTCAATCATTTCAATCCAGGAAGCCAGGGGTCTCAAATCTAAAAGGCTAGCGCAAGTGTATAGTAAATCTACAAATATGCCCATCACAGACTCAGTGGGACCATTAAAATATAAGAATACAGGCAAAAATAAAAACCCTGTCAAGTAACCTTAACTTACTCTAAATGCACTAGATTAAAAATTTCTCCTCATTAGTTAACTATTAAACCCAACACCCTCATACTAGAGGTTGCCCCCTACTGCTGAAGCAGGAACAGGTTAGATTTCTAGATTCTCTGTGTAGCTCAAGCTCTAGTAATGTGCTTTTGACAGAGCGGACTTTGACGGACTGAGTTTATTGCTTAACATTCTTATGGTGAAAAAGTCAACAGGCAGGTAGCCCAAAGGCCTAAGCCTCCAAATGTGGGTCTGGCTCTCCGTGTAACTGCCAATTCCTCAGCACATTCTCAGCTAAGAAAAAAATAACAAGCACCGCGGGAGACTGTTCCACAGGTAGCTCACAAGCAGTTCGCATGCAAAAACCACTCACTTCCATCTACTATCACCAAAGAACCAAGTTAGGAAGGAACCTCCCTCCTGCAAAGAGTGGGGCCACCAGAGGCGGCCGAACCCCCTAGAAATGTGCCTAAAGGATGAAAGCCACTTCCCCTGGGGAGTCCCATCAAATGACGATGGGAGCCTTGCACTTTTAGGCAAGTGAGAACAAGGAGTCCGACCCTGCGGTGCTATATCAGGGGCGCACTCGGCAGGTTGGAGCCGGGCTCCGCTGCCAGCTCCTCACCCTGTTCCTCTGCGGCCTTGTCACCCTGCGCCTCCGATCCTGGCGTCTCGTCGCCGCTCCGCTCCTCGGGCTCGTCTTCTTCCCCCTTGCCGGTGCCCTGCTCTTCGCCTCCATTTACCCCACCTGACCCGGCCGTGGCCTCCGATGGCTTCTCGGAAACACTGGGCTCGGCCAAGGCCTCCATGGCTGCCGCCTCCGGGGGCTCCGGCGGCGGCTGCGCGGCCTGGTCCGAGGCCTGAGCAGGGGGTGGCTCTTCGTCCTCGTCCTCAAGCAGCGCCTCCTCGTCCTCCTCCTCCTCCTCTTCGTCCTCCTCCTCGTCCCCGCCCGGGCCGCCGCCCGACGCGGCCACAGGCCGAGGCTCCGCCTTGCAGGCCCCGCCGGGCCCGGCCCCGCCACCGCCGGCCTCGTCCTCGAGCATCTCGGCGTCCAGCGCCTCCTGCAGCCGCTGCGCCAGATCCACTTTGAGGCCGCGCGAGTCCAGGCCCCGCCGCTGCAGCTCCGACCGCAGCTCGGTCACTTTCAGCCGCTTCACCTCCATCGCCGCCGCCGCCTCCTCCGCCTCCCGCCGCCTCCTCCCCTGCGAACCGTCGACCGAACCCAACCGCGCAGGCGCCGCCGCCGCCGCCGCCGCCGCCCGCCTCCGCCTCACGCGCCAGCACTGAGCCCGCGCGAGCGAGCGCACGCACGCAGACAGGGGAGGCCGCGCACGGTCCCCTCTACGTAGTGTTTGTTTCTCCTTCCTCCTCCCCTCCCCCTTCGGTTCACGGAGCCAGAAACAACGCAATGGGGAGCTGCTTGTCTTCCAGTCCCTCGGTTACCCAGCCGCAGGCAAGCGCGCGGAGGACGACGGAGTTCCCTTCTTCTCCCTCCCGCCCCCTTTCGCCCCCTGGACCAATCGCCGCCGGTGGTTTTACTGCGCAGCCGCAGCGGAGTGCGAGACGGGCAAGGCTGGCTGCTGCTCAAGTGCCTCGTAGCACGGAAGCGTGAGCGCGCCGGTCTTGCCGTACTTCCAGCGGCGGGTCTGCGCAGCCGTCCGGAGCCCCCTTAGCCTACGCCCATCCCACCCTATCACCACCTTTACTTCCGTCTGACTTTCAATTGCCTCGGCGCCTTAGGGCTCGCCGCTAGCCTCTTTCCTCTGATGACTTGTATGCAACAGCTTCTTGAGAGTAACAACAAAAGAGAAGCTATTGCAACATGAAAGCCTACTAGCAATTGTTTTTCTGGCCTGTAAGCAAAAGAGATTTCCCTGTAAGCAAAAGAGAATACAGTAGTCACTGTCCCTGTTTTTTCTCAACGCTTCAACTTCTACCCAGCAACATACGTCCTGATCCCGCCTTTCTTCTTTGTTATTGGCCAACTTGAATCGTCATCTGCCGTTCTGATTGGCCATCCGTGATGGTCCGGATTTTTCCAATTGGCCGAACCACCAGGGTTTTTTTTTCCGGGTTAGTCCGCTGGGGAGGCGGGGTCATTTCTGCGGGATTATTTTTTTCCGGCGCCGATTCTGATTGGGCGGTGTGGTACAATGCGCGCGACTCGTTAGGCACCGAACTGTGAGGAGGTCCGACCCTTTCCTCTCCGTGCTCCCGCCGGTAAACCGAAGCCCTGGAGTAGACTTCGGGGCTTCAGCATCTGCAGAGAGCGAGGAACTGGCCGCGGCGCCTGGTGGGCTTGCAACGGGGGTGCTGTAAGGTCTCCTCTCGCCTGTGGGTTGGGGTTAACGAGCCTCATTCACCTCAGTTTCCCAGCTCGTGGCACTGACATCAAATGCTTGTTCAATAAGGAGAAATAAAGAGTTGGAGTAGAAGCAAGCTCTCTACTTATTTTAGCAGTAGTCCCCGCCTACTTCCTTCTACTTCCAGGTCAGAGGGGGGCGTATCCAAAAGAAGGAGGAAGCAAAGTCTGCCGGCGTTTGTACGCCGGCCACAATTCCTGAGTAGGGTCTTTGCTTTTTTACGGGGAGTCTCCTCACCCCGGAATCGCCTGTATTAGGAAATCACTTAATCTTTGGTTTCACTGTTCTCGCATCCTCTTCCTGAATAGTTTCTTGCACTTCTGGAGATTGAAAAACTGCAGAGAGGAGAGGTGTGGCTCTAGGAAAAACAAGCAAAGCTCACGTCCCAAGGGCTGGGGCTTCCTGGAGAAGGGTAATTTCCTGCCTTCTTAAGTCGGCTACCAAAATCAGTTATTTTGCTCCCAACCCCAGAGCTTCAGTTGCTCTTTTACTTCCCAGTTGCGCAAGAGCACTGGGCGACAAAGAGTTATGGAGAAGCGCCTGCAGGAGGCCCAGCAGTACAAGGAGGAAGGGAACCAGCGCTACCGGGAAGGGAAGTACCGAGATGCTGTGAGTAGGTACCATCGAGCTCTGCTTCAGCTGCGGGGTCTGGATCCAAGTCTGCCCTCCCCGATACCTAACCTAGGGCCTCAGGGCCCGGCTCTCACACCTGAACAAGAAAACATACTGCAAACCACCCAGACAGACTGCTACAACAATCTAGCTGGTAAGAACAGGGCTGAAGGGTGGGTGGAGAACATCAGTGCCGGAACATGAGTGTGTAAATATTGGAGAAAACACTGACGTTCTTTTCTGTTGTTATCCAGTTATTCTGCCATGAATTGAAATACATTTCCAATCTGTAGGGTTCTAATTGAGCTGCTGTAGACCAGAGCTTCTCAGACTTCACCTGGAGAGTTTGTTAAAACACAACTTCTTGGGAAACAAGTTACTTGCTTTAGCCAGTGGTTTAGATCACTTATATTCAATGGTTTTTATAGCTTTTCTTCATTTTCCTCTTTCTTGTAAATCAGTTAATTTGGGTAACTAGTATCTTCCAGCTCCAGATGGCCTTGGGTGAAGATATGGATGCCGTAGTTAGTATCACTACGATTAACCAGCTAAGAGAAAGGAGACTTCTTAGGTCCGTTCTGTGGCAGGCATAATAACCATAGAGCTAATTAAATTATTTTGCAGTATATTAGAACCTCCTAACAGTCCAAGTTGAGGCATAGAAATTATTAGGAGTAGTTCTTACACTTCCTAATAGTTTAAAAATTATTGTTTTCAATTTTTTATTTCAAAATATTAAGGGGGTACAAATGTTTTTGGTTACATGGACCACTTTTGTTATTCTTGAGTCACGGCTGTAAGTGTGCCCATCACCCAAATAGTGTTCACTGTACCTGTTAGGTGTTTTTGCCCCTCCCCTCCTCCCCTTTCCCCCTCCCCGCTTGATTTCCACTGAGTTTTACTTCCCTCTGTGCACATGTGTGCTCATCCGTTAGTTCCAATTTAATAGCAAGTGCATGTGGTGTTTGTTTTCTCATTCTTGAGATTCTTCACCAAAAAAAAAAAAAAAACTGCCAGGCCTGGTGCTCACACCTATAATCCCAGCATTTTGGGAGGCCAAGGTGGAAGGATTGCTTGAGATCAGGATTTTGAGACCAGCCTGAGCAAGAGTGAGACCCCCATCTCTTAAAAGAAAAAAAAAAAAAGAAGAAGAAAAAGAGATTCTTCACTTAGGATAATGGTCTCCAGTTCCATCCAAATTGTTGTAAAAGGCATTAATTCATTCTTTTTTATGATTGAGTAGTGCTCCATGGTATACATATACCACGTTTTGTTAATCCACTCATGAATTGATGGGCACTTGGGTTGACTTCACATCTTTGCAATTGTGAATTGTGCTGTAGTGAACATTTGAGTGCAGGTGACTTTTTGATAAAATGACTTATTTTCCTTTGAGTAGTTACCCATTAGTGGGATTACTGGATTGAATGTTAGGTCTACTTTTAGTTATTTTTTTAGTTTTTTTGAAGAGACAGGGTCTCACGCTGTCACTCAGGCTGGAGTGTAGTGGTGAGATCGTAACTCACTGCAGCCTTGAACTTCTGGGCTCAAGCAATTTCACCCCACCTCAGCCTTCCCAGTAGCTGGGACTATAAGCATAAGCCACTGTGCCCTGCCTAAAAATGATATTAAAATTCAATACTGTTTAGCTATAGTTTGGTGAAAACCTCTTTTTTACTGTGTATCCAAGGCTACTCTTAGACTCAAGTCACAATAATAATAATTATAGTAACTAGTGTTTCAGTTCATTCAATTCAACAATTACTCATTAAGTGCTGAGGATTCACAGTATAATAAAACAGATAAAGATCCCTGTCCTCATGGAAAGGGAGATGGACAATAAACAAAAGAAGTAATATAATATATTAGATGTCGATGAGTACTTTAGAAAAGGATAAATTGGAAAATGGGAATAGTGAGTGCCATAGGCATGGGGGTATTCACTTTTAAAGAGAGTGGTTAGGGAGGGCTCATAGAAGTGACATTTATGAAATGCCATGGGCAGACATTGCCCTTTATACACATTAACCTATGTAAGTGTCATAGCAATCCTTTGAAATAAATTTTAGGAAACAGACAGCTAGTAATTGGTGGAGCTAAAATTAAGCCCCGGCAGTCTTAACTCCAGAGCTTAAGTTCTTATTGCAGAATATTGTACATTGCTAACGACTAGAATACATTTTGGGGAATTGACCAAATATCAAGAAACAAGCTGCTTTAGAGTTGCTTTTAGAGGAACTTGACTCTGTATTGAGGGTAGAAATTATGCCTTAGCCATCTTCAGAGCTAGGGTAGCTTGCTAGATGCTCCATAAAGACTCACTGAATTAACAGTTTTCTACCCTTAGCAGGGAGACAGGAAAAGAAAAAAGAAAAAAATTTTTTCATTTAATGAGTCCCTGTAACATGTTTGGCAGTTTATTTACAATATCTCTCGTCTTCACAAAAATTCTGCAAAGTACTTATGGTTATCCCTGTTTTACAGATAAGGAAGTCAGATTTATATCACTGCCTAAAGTCCTCTGGTGGCATCTCATCACACTTACGAGAAAATCCAAACTCTGCCCCTCACCTGCAGGTCCCAAATGACCTGACTCTTCTGTATACTGAATGCTCAAAGCACTTTTCCACCTTTGGGCTTTGTAGGCTCTCTTGGGATAGAAAAGAGAGCCTACAAAGGGTCCCTTGAGTGACCCATGTCATTCAGATTTTGGCGCAGAAGTTGCTTCCTTAGAGAGGACTTCTGACTTCATTGACTCTCTGTCCCAGCAAAGTTTTATTTTCCTCAAATAAAATCAGTTTACTGGGAAGCCAAGACAGGAGGATCACTTGAGCCCAGGAGTTTGAGACAAGCCTGGGCAACAAAACAAGACTCCATCTCCACAAAAAATAGAAAATTAGAAAAAATAGAGAAATTAGCTGGGCATGGTGGCATGCATCTATAGACTCATCTACTTGTGAGACTGAGGCAAGAGGATCACTTGAGCCCAGGAGATTGAGGTAGCAGTGGGCTGTCATGATGCCACTGCCTTCATGCCTGGGCAACAGAGCAAGACCGTCTCAAAAAATGAAACCAAAACATTTCTTTGTTTATTGTGTATTCCTCCTACTCTCCCAGTTAGGGACTAGGATGCAAGCTGTATTTAATTATCAAGATGTCTGCCTTGTTCCTCTTATCCTCCTGGCTCAGTGCCCGGCACATGGTCAATGCCCAATAACTGGTTGTCAAATGAATGACACTAGAGTGATGGATTAGTTGACCCCTGGGGAAATATCTAAGTATAAACCATTTGACCACGTGGTGGGGATGTTGTAGAAAGGATGTGAATATAAGCCCAGGCCTTTTAATGTCCTCATCAGCCCTCATTCTTGGTCCTTCTCAGTGCCATAATTTAACTATACTATGTTTAATTCCCATAGTTGTGAAATAGGGAATGTATTTCCCTTCTTAATTATAGAAAGGCAGAACATTGACTTGAACATTGCCTCCTAAGCAGGTTTGTATTTTGAGGTCCCTTTAAATTATCCAAGTGAATAGTGAAGTAATATACTGTATTGCCATTGAGAATGATGATGATTTTGGAGTTAGAGAGTGCTTGGTTCAAATTTTATACTCATTCTACCTAGAAGCTGTGGGATCTTAGACAAGTTACTTTACTTCTCTGAGCCTTGATTTTTTTCATCCATTAAATGGAGATAGTAACACCAATTTCATAGTGTGGATGAAAAGATTAAAGGAGGATGGGTGTGCTGTAATCCCAGTACTTTGGGAGGCCAAGGCAGGAGGATTGCTTGAGACCAGGAGTTCAAAACCAGCCTGGGCAATGTAGCAAGACCCCTGTCTCTGTAAAAAAAAATTAGCCAGGTATGGTGGCATGTGCCTGTAGTCTCAGGACTTGAGAGGCTGAGGAGGAAGGTTGTTTAAGGCCAGAATTTGAGGCTGCGGTGAGCTATGATTGCACCACTGTACTCCAGGCTGGGCAACAGATTGATACCCCATCTGTAAAAAACATTAAAAAATAATTTTTAAAAAGATTAAACAAGATAGTGTATATCAAACACACAGTACAGTGCTTGTTATTTCTTCATACAATTAATGGCAACTGTTGTTAACGAAGTTGCAGTACAAGAGTATATTCTTGGCTGGCTGCAGTGGCTCACGCCTATAATCCTAGCACTCTGGGAGGCCGAGACAGGTGGATCGCTCAAGGTCAGGAGTTCGAGACCAGCGTGAGCAAGAGCGAGACCCCATCTCTACTAAAAGTAGGAAGAAATTATCTGGACAACTAAAAATATATACATAGAAAAAATTAGCCGGGCATGGTGGCACATGCCTGTAGTCCCAGCTACTCGGGAGGCTGAGGCAGG